ATGCTTATGGTATTCCCCAGCATGTTTGTGGACAGCATCCTCAGTCCCCTCATTAAATGTTTTCAGTACAGCCCCTGAAAAAGTTGGATGACAAAATATGTTATCTCACTGTATGATACTTAATTTCAACACTAGGCGGTGCTGCTGTCAAAGCAGCTTCTCCATACTGACAAAAAATAATAAAATAAAAATTAATAAAATTGATAAAATTAGTTTTCACCCATTTAGAAATTAGATATTTAAAATCTGATTACACAAGTGTGGTTACCATCCCCTTAAAGTCCACAGTGTACTCTCAATTCAGTATTTACAACTTCCAAATCTAGGAAAAACACTTATATTTTTTAAAAACTGCAATTCCCTGCAGTCCCAACATAGTTGTAATTCTTCTGATTTGCAAAGTACGGTTCTAAATAGGGTTGTAAAAGATATATCTGCCCAGTATATCTAATATCTAGTAAAGCCGAACTAGTTATTACACTGCATCTAGATGAACTATGTTAATAAAAAGTAAAGATGTTGGCTAATTTTCGATATTTTAGCTAATACGCTAGAAACAGTGTTTTTGGGACAGTAGGTTTGTTTGCGGCTTGTTGTAAAATATGGTCGTAAAAAGATAGACCTACTGAATATATCTAATATCTAGTAAAGCCGAACTAGTTATTACACTGCATCTAGATGAACTATGTTAAGAAAAAGTAGATGTCGGCTAATTTTCGATATTTTTGCTAATATGCTAGAAACGGCGTTTTTGGGACAGTAGGTTTGTTTGCGGCTTGTTGTAAAATAGGGTCGTAAAAAGATAGACCTACTGAATATATCTAATATCTAGTGAAGCCGAACTAGTTATTACACTGCATCTAGATGAACTATGTTAAGAAAAAGTAAAGATGTCGACTAATTTTCAATATTTTAGCTAATACGCTAGAAACAGCATTTTTGGGACAGTAGGTTTGTTTGCAGCTTGTTGTAAAATAGGGTCGTAAAAAGATAGATCTACTGAATATATCTAGTAAAGCCGAACTAGTTATTACACTGCATCTAGAAACATGCTGCCACCGAATGCAGTGTTATGAGGTCGTGGTCATTTCACGTATTTCTGTGAGATCAGGCTGAAAATGGCACAAATAATGCAAACTGTCTGATAGTAACTTCGACGCTAACGTTAGCTAGTTAGCTAGCTAGCTAGCTAACGTTAGCGTCGAAGTAGAACTGCATGGATGGGCAGAAGCATAATGTTACGTTAATGCTGGTTCATGACCAAAAAAAAAAAACAAACCATAATTTAATTTGGTCCGGACCTAGACGTAAACGGTAGTAACCGGACCGAAAAAAACTGTTTAATAATTAAAATAGTGAATTGTAGCCGTGCAATAACGTTAGCAAATAACGGTCATTGAAATTGGCCCTGACTAAAAGCAAAGCTGGAGATATTCTCAGACGACAATCATGAACACAGTAAAAGTAAACAGGAAAAGTAGATGTTAAAAAGATTTGTATTGCTAACATGAAATAAAAGGCAATGTGCTAAATATAGCTACTTACTGATCAATTCAACCTCTCTCTCTGTCTGTGTCTGCGAGTGCGACTCCGACCAACTGCAGGCAGCTAAAAATAAACTATAACGGCTACGTAAATTCAATTTGGCGGGTTCACGCTTGCGCAGAACACCCAGCAGGTAGCAACCGTTGCTGCTGTGCTAATACCGCTCGCATGCACGCACATGCACACACCTACACACACACACGCATACACACACAAACACATTACAAATGTATTGGGAGTCCACTTGTTAAGGTTTGATTACAGAGGCTGTTTTAAAATTTCATGTGGTGAGCAGAAAAAAATCGACTACAGCGTTCAAATATTGAATGTCACATCAACATTCAGATGAAGTTGTAGTACGATGTTCAGATGCACAACCTATTACGGAGGTCATGTAGATGTACAGATATGGTCCTGGACTGACTGACGCGAAATGGACCTGATCTGGCGGTCCAGTTGACGTCAGATGTTTGGCGCACAGTAGCCACAGGAATGAGTCATCTATGATCTATGGGAATAACGCCATTATAAATAAACAGCATGACTAATGGCGCTACTTTTTTCAGTAATGAGTAATCAAAAAGTTACTGTCTCCCCCGTTGTAACGCCGTTACCTTTACTCACAATGAAATGCGCCGTTACTCGGCTTTACTTGAGTTCATTGAAGCGGCTTTCACCCAAGCAAGCTCCCTCTCAGCGGAGCTCTAAAGTGTTTTTTTTTCTTTGGTGAGGGCACATGAGGGGGAAGGGAGGGAGAGACAATCGCATAAGTGATGATGGCTTAGGGAGAATAAAATTTTATTATAAACCAATCAGAGGCAGAGTAGGGCAGGTATTCACAAGCACACAAGCAGAGTTGCCAGGTCCGCTTAGTAGCCGCGACTTTGGACTTTGGCTTATTTGGGCTTGCTCTCTAAACGTCGCCTTTCTCTCTATATATATCCATCTAATAAGTTATTTAAATACATGCTGGTATGACTCGGACTGCAGGATGTTTTCACAGCTCCGCTCCCTCCGCCCCTCTCCTTCTCCGCATACACACAGGTGACGGTCAGTCAATGAGACTATTCACATTTAAATTGCGCAATTAATGGAGGTTCTTTAACTGGTGTAGATAAGTGTACAATGTTTTATAATAATGATGTATTCTATTAAGTGTCATTTTCATTCATTTAACATATTCAATGTTGAGTTTCATTACATACAGTTCCATTAAGAGGGGTGTGTCCAAGCTTGTTTTGACGTATTTGAGTATTTTATAACAAAGTAACGCTAAAGTTACTTTTCCAGGTAATTAGTTACTTTTATAGTGCAGTAACCCAGTTACTAACTCAGTTACTTTTTGGGGAAAGTAACGAGTAACTATAACTAATTACTTTTTTAAAGTAATGTTCCCAACACTGCATGACACACACCTAAACCATGTTGACACCTGCCAGTAGCTAGTGTTTAACAGGACACTGACTCAAACACAGTCCTTGAAGCCTGACAAGATGGATTTTTGTGTGATCTTGTGATCCTGCAGTTCTCACATGATCTTGATCATATAGCGGGGATCCACCTACTGTGCAAGGTGAATTCATAAGGTCCATTTAGAGATGTCCATCCATTCATTTTCTAACCGCTTATCCCATGGACCGCGGAACACATCTGATCCGGTATATGCATTGAAACAGTCAATATTACTGATGTATTAAATAACGTTGCGGAGCACTTTTTTATTCCGACGCCACACAGTCACATCTACAGTACACGCATGAACACAAACACATGCTTGCTCAGATTAACCCCTCTGATCCCACTCTAACATTCACACACAACAGGCCAAGCCTATTTACACATAAACACACAGATGAAACTATAGCAAACAACAAAGTACATCCAGTCCACAACCACAACCAAAACTCATCTTGCTGTCTTGAATCTAAATCAACATCATATTCATTATCATCACAAGTCAGCACTCATATCAGACTGATGTGCAGAGCCGCACGCAAACACACACACACACACACACACACACACACACACACACACACAACAACAACAAAACAAGCGCAGCTGTGCAGTTACTGAAAAGTAACCAGAACACTGAATTTCTGACCATTAACACCCGCAACCGCGATGTGTATGTCCACTCCCGCCCCCTCCCGCAAAACTCTGAGAATTTATGCCTGCACAATAATAGAGATGCATTGATTTTGTGTCTTCTCCCGTCCCGCAAGAGAAAACACGTCATTTTATAGGCTATTAATAAAGAGATTCATGGGGTTGTTTGTTTCGTTTCCCTGGTCTGCATGTCTTTTGACGCACTGGTCTTGAATAGCGCTCCTTTTTCGTTGTTTTCATTTAGTTTTTAATGAAATAAAGGCTGTTTCATATTCTATTCTCCTCCTCTGTATTTATTTATTTTTCTACCTTTATATAATCACGCAGTGATTGAGGTTAAGGCAAGCCCGGCGCCAGGATGAAGTTACTGAGGGCGCGGTTAAAAATTACGAGGGGACAAATCTTTATTATGCAACATAGGTTCACACAGTGAGTTATAAAGAGCGTGCAGACGTGCGTAATAGTCGCGCGTAATGACAGCTCGTCGCCGGTGAAACACAATAAACTGCATGTCTTCTTTCATGTTTGTCTCATGACAGATGGAGCTTACTGACTGACAGACAGACAGACAGGCAAGCGGCAAATTGGTATGAAAGCTGGTTCAGGGCATATTCGTCCATTTATGAATAAATATGGAGTGGAAACGCTCATGCATGTGCACCAAGTTTCTGTGTTGACATCTTGTCGCTAGGCTACATCTTCTTCTTCTTCTTTTTCTTCTTCTTCTACTGTTTAATGGGGACCCGTGGGACCCGGCGGGACCCAATCCCAATGCAGCCCTCTATGTCAGAGTACAAAAGTTACCCGGGCCATGGCCCCCCGGGCCCCCCCGGTTTCGCAGTCTATGGCTTATCCTCTTGAGGGTTGTGGGGGGGCTGGAGCCTATCCCAGCTGACATTGGGCGAGAGGCTGGGTACACCCTGGACAGGTCGCCAGACTGTCGCAGGGCTGACACGTAGAGACAGACAACCATTCACACCTACGGACAATTTAGAGTCACCAGTTAACCTAGTCCCCAATCTGCATGTCTTTGGACTGTGGGAGGAAGCCAGAGTACCCGGAGAAAACCCACGCTGACACGGGGAGAACATGCAAACTCCGCACAGAAGAGCACCCCCACCTGGGATCAAACCAGGAACCCTCTTGCTATGAGGCGTCAGTGCTAACCACCACACCACTGTGCTGCCCACATTTAATGATGTGTTTGATATAAATCTGAATAAAAGTTTCAACATAATATAAAAGTGTTGCTAGTGCTGCTGAACCCACTGAGAGTGAACAGTCATCATCCTGTCCCCTTAATTTGTCTCTGTGCTTACATTGTTTCTTTACTGTCTTTGCTGCAGATTGTGACGAATGCTGTCTGCCATTCAGACCTTTACCACCTTTTTGAGAATATGCATAAAGATGGCTTCCCAGCAGTCCTCGGCCACGAGGCAGCTGGCATCGTAGAGAGTGTCGGGCCTGGAGTGACTGAATATCAGCCAGGTCAGTTTGGAATGGTACAGCATTGTGAGATATATACTTGCATGACTCTCACATAGCAACATTGTTTTTGTCTTTCAGGAGACAAGGTTATCCCTCTGTTCATCTCTCAGTGTAGAGAATGTCGCTTCTGTAAGAGTCCAAAGACCAACATGTGTGAAGTGGCATTGTGAGTAAAACAAGCACTCATCTCTGTCTATCCATTGCACTCCACAGACAGAAACATTTTTACTCTATGTGTCCCTAACAGTGTTTTTCAAAATAAGCTTATTGCAAATATTCAGTGAACCCTCTAATAGGACAAGAGCAGCACTCAAATTTTGTTTCAGGTTTTGACATAAAAAAAATAAACTCTTGTTCAGATCCAGTGGTCGTTACGAAGTGATGTCCGGCCCAGAGTCCAGGTTTACCTGTAAGGGGAAGAAGGTGCTGCAGTTTTGTGGAACCAGTACCTTCTCTGAGTACACTGTGGTTAACCAGATGGCTGTGGCTAAGATCGACCCCGCTGCCCCTCTGGACAAAGTCTGTCTGCTCGGCTGTGGGATCTGCACAGGATATGGAGCAGCAATTAATACTGCTAAGGTGTGTTTGTCATTATTTTAGACTCAAACAACAAAATGAGAAATTTGTGTTAAGGGGCTATTTTTATGACATAAAAGACTTTTGTTTTAAAATTCTTGCTCAAACTGGAAAGCCTCTCAAAGAGTAAACACCCATCATGGAACACTAAGCCTGTCCATTATTTATTATGGAGCCTTAACAAGTCTCACCTGAAGAGCAATGTTGACCACAGTCTGTTACACTTTAGGTGGAACCAGGCTCAACATGTGCTGTGTTCGGCCTGGGAGCTGTGGGTTTGGCTGCAGTCATGGGCTGCAAGGCTGCAGGAGCCAAGAGGATCATCGCTGTTGAAATCAATCCAGAGAAGTCTGAGAAAGCCAAGGTGTTCGGCGCGACTGACTTTGTGAACCCTAAGGATCACAATAAACCCATCAGCCAAGTGCTATCTGAGATGACTTATGGAGGAGTGGACTACTCTCTGGAATGTGTTGGGAATGTGGAAGTTATGGTAGGGACACTAGATTTCATGTGGTTCAAGTATTATATACAATTAAGAGGTGTTACCTAACTATTAAACAGTAACCTCTTTTCTCATCAGTCAATTGTTATTGGAAAAGAGCTGAGTGTAGTTAATTGAGTTACAAAGCCCACATTTTTGTAGCTAGGGCAACAAAATAGCATAGCTGAACAAATGGATAGATAAAATAATGGATGGAGATACCATTACGTCAACCAATGGTGTGTGGACTGCCATTTTGAAGTTTGAGTTTGACATTTTGGCCATCGCCATTGTGGTTTTTCGGGAGCCAGAAATTATATTATATTTGGATGAGAGAGTGGTGCTATGGAGGAGCAAGCAAGAGATGTGGCTCATAGACTGAGGTGGCGTCTTGCTGACAGCTTGTCACACAAAGCCCTTAATAATTTTAAGTCTTACTTAAATGTTATCGGTGAGAAATTAGCTAGAAGCTAAAACTGTTAATTGTACCTGGCTGTAAGCATCATTATTTCTGGTGTAAAGTTGGGCATGGGTGTCTATGGGGGATGACTTGCTTCTGGAGCCAGCCTCAAGTGGCCATTCAAGGTACTGCAGTTTTTGGCACTTCCATGTTGGCTTCATTTTTCAGCCCTGGAGGTTGCAGCTTGCTCAAGAGATTTGGACCAGCACCCATCATGTTACAAGCCCACTGACTTTGTGCTTTTTCTCCATCCAGCGCAGTGCCTTAGAGTCATGTGTGAAAGGTTGGGGTGTCAGCGTGATTGTTGGCTGGACAGACATGCAAGATGTTGCTGCAAGACCCATTCAGTTCATTGCTGGACGCGCATGGACGGGCTCTGCATTTGGAGGTGAGACAAATATGACCACCAACACTAATGAATCTCCAGTAACCGAATGGCTTTGGGCTTATGTCCTGCCATTATCTAAGTAGCTGTATTCTAGATTGGTGGCACAGTGGAAAAGTGGTTAGCATTGTTGCCTCACAGCAAGAGGGTTCAAGGTTCACACCCCGTGGTGGCGGAGCCCTTCTGTGCAGAGTTCTCCCTGTGTCAGCATGGTTTTCCTTGGGGTACTCGGGTTTCCTCCCACAGTCCAAAGACATGTAGGCTAGGGTAATTGGTGACTCTAAATTGCCCTTAGGTGTGAATGTAAGTATCAATGGTTGTCTGTGTCTGTGATAGTCTGACGATCTGTCCAGGGTGTACCCCATCTCTTGCCGAATGTCAGCTGGGATCGGCTCCAGCCCCCCGCGACCCCTAACAGGATAAGTGGTTACAGAAAGTGAACGAATGTATACTAGATAAGACTCTAAAGCCCATTTTACACTGCCAGATTTTCTACGAATGTTGGGCCATATTGCTGGCAAGCTGCGAGGGTATAGACACACAGAGCCGGATTGGTGAGTTGATCGATTGATGACTTGTGGGAGGAGCTGTTGATGATGCTGCACATGCGACCCACTGGCCGTGGATAAACAGGAAACAGCTGATAGCAGGAATTAGTGAGCAGCTAGTAGCAAGAGGGAAACGCAAACCTAGCAGACACTGTAAAGATGAGCAACTGGGGAGACAAGGAATTGCGCACCCTCCTTGCCCTTGCAAACGAAGAGGCCATTAACCGTCAGATGACGGGGACAGTGAAGGACGGGCCGACTTATGAGAGAATCGCCAAAGGACTGACAAGCCACGGCTTCCCTCCCACAACACTGTTTACGTCACACGCTGAGCTAAATGTTTTGTTACGCCCCTCATTGCCCCGAAAAAGGCGCATTCTGTATAAACAAAATTAGGTAGGCGGCATTTTGCCGCCCTACCCGATTTTGGTTTTATACTGCCAATGCTGAAAAAAGACTGATTGGGCTTTCCTGCAAATTTGCACAATTCCTATCTAGGCTTAAGTTTATATTTTATCATTTAGACTTTTATGTTTTTATTTTGCCATTTAGGCTTTAAGGGTCGGGATGCTGTGCCTCAGATGGTTAAAGACTACCTGGACAAGAAGGTGATGGTAGATGAGTTCATCACTCACGTGACTTTGGACCAGGTCAATGATGCCATTGAACTGATGAAACATGGCAAATGGTATGTTTATTGAAAACAAACAGAGTAGTCGTGCACATCCAAAAAATTAAAAAGGTGCTGGACTAAATTAATAAAACTGAAAAGACCAAGAAAAGTCCGCACACTTTAGCTCCCTTTAGGTGCATTTATTCCACCAACCTGGAGTGATGTTTCGGGCCACAGGTGCCCTTCTTCAGTCTGAGGAAGGGCACCTGTGGCCCGAAACTGTGGCCCGAAACGTCACTCCTTGGTCTTTTCAAATGGTATGTTTATACAACTATACTTTTCTACCATTCATGACTTAACAGTATCAGTCATGAAGTTAATATTCATATCTTTTTTTTCTTACAGCATCCGGACCATCCTGACTGTTTCTCCACAATAAGACCACTGTGTTGCTTTCAGTGACCACAAAGTAACTCTGTAATTTTTCACTATGTGATACAAAATCTTAGCATAATATTCACACAAATAATGCAATACCTATAGTCAAGAAATCTCTTAAATTATGCACATTATACATGCCTGATTTGAACAGTGAATACTATTCAGTGGAGTACGTGCAGATCGTGAGAATTATCTGCAGTGTTCACATAAGGAAAGCTAAACATGTCTGGTGTTTATAGAGCAAAATAAATGATGTTAACAGATGGGGTTTGTGGCCTCCTTGTTTGTGTTCTGGTTTTATGGTGTTGTATGTCATTGGCACAGCATTCACATATCTACAGCATGTCTCTGAATGCTCTGTTAAACTATGTTTTAAGTGTCCGTCAAATAGTTTTCCCTCAGATTTACTCAGACCACCCTAATCATATCAACATTTGTTCAACTTGGCAGACAGCATTGTTAATATTCTGCTAGGATGTGCTCCGGGATTTATCCCTGAGCAGCTTCTGCCTGTTTATTGAAGAATTTACAATAAAGGATCCAATATTGCAGACACCAGGCACACTAAATGAAATGACATGAGGCCATATAGGTACATAAACAGCTGTTGTTTGGCACTGTGAGGTTTAATGGTGAAGAAATTACAGGTCATGATTGTTCTATGTTGAAGCTGAGAGGGACCATGATTTGATTTTAATTGTTCATCATTATGATCTTTGGAAAACATAAGCTGATTCAGCAGCATCTTCATTTAGGTTCAACCACACTAGATTTACTGTGTTACTTGTTTCAGTCATGCAGTTTGACAAGATACAAAATTACTACGACATGTGCTGCTTTTGGCCGCCATAGATTTCAAAACTGGGATCACAAATGAAAAGTATGCTTCACTTAAAACTGAACTACACATTGTCAATATTTGTCAAAAGAACCTATTACAAGTCAGATGAGGCATTACTTGGCCGGTACATGATCCCATCCAACTCTTAATTGTATGCACTATTTAGTTTGCTCAAAAGTGTAAGAACTTTATTCCTTCCCTAGCACTTAGACAGACACAAAAATTGGACAGTTGTAAGTAAGAACGGGCTTAATTCACATGTCAGTATTTTTTTAACTGTTTTTTTTTTATGAGTACTTTCACACAGAACATGAATATTACCTGGCAAAAAAGCACCGTCTTTTTTTTTTTAAAATTTTGGAACAAAATGGATTTTTTTTGTTTCTCCTTTCAACCTTGACAAAGGCATGGCATCACAGATCGACCCCTTTCATTGTTATTTTTCACAATAAAGGTAAAGGGATTTATACTTGTGCAGCAGACCCTACACCATAGCCTACGCACATGGCCTACGCCGTTGTGAGAATTTATACTCGTGTGGAGCAGACGTTTCTGTAAAGTTTAGTTGATTGAAGTTTAGTTGATTCAAAACCATAGGCTGTATAAAAATATGGATGTAGTCACCGTGACGTAACCCACTGGTTTCTGAGGAGCAGGTTTGAAGCTCAAAGTAGGCGGCTCTGGACGTCGCCATCTTGGCAGTGCCTGACTCCGCCCAACTCCCGGCCAATCAAAAATGGGCAAAGAGGTGGGCCAAATGAAACCTGGTTGCTTAAACACTCCCACCTCGCTCGAAGCTGCTAGGTTAGCTAAGGCTAACAAGCTAGGCTAACAAGCTACGCTACTTTGGCTAGCCCTGTGGTATTGGTTGCTCCCGCTCATGCTGCCAGCTCCCTCATGAAACAAAATATCCACAAGGCACAAACATGGCTGAGTGGCCAGGTTCAATGACTTGCGAATTAGCCACCCGTGATGGCGCCACCTGTCACTCAAAGTGACCACGCCCTTAATTACGCGCAACTTTAAGTCTTTATAAAATCTAAACGGTTGACATATAAAAAAATTCACCCCCCGTACAGCTGTCATGAAAGGGGACATTAGCTATAGAGACCAAAACTGCTTTTTGTACTAGACCGTAAACATGTTTATTTCTGCTGTAAATTTGAGCATTTTAACATGGGGGTCTACGGGGATTGACTTGCTTTTGGAGTCTGCCTCAAGTGGCCATTAAACGAACTGCAGTTTTTGGCACTTCCGCATTGGCTTCACTCGTCATCCCCAGAGGTTACCACTTGTTCAAAACACACCCAAAACAAACATTAAGCACACTTTAAACATGGCTTAATAGCAACAATTTCAAACACTCGTACACATATCAGATTCACTATGACTCACAGCATTCATAGACAAAGTACTTGTCTTTTGCTGGACACATTTTCCCCACAAATACAACATGCTAATGGTTTCAGCACAAGCTTATGGCAGTTCTGCTCAAAAGCCCCTGATGTATACATTGTGTAACTGTTAACTGGAGGGTACTCCAATATGCTCACAGCATTTTGCTAAGAGGAAACTCAATAAAATAGCTGACAGTAGGTCACACTACAACTTACCTCAGATGAACTGCCAGACGTTGCTGCAGGTCAACAGGACCTTGGTGCTTGGACTTCTGCCTCCTCAGATGTGGTGCTATGATTCCCAGAGGAGCCTCAAACTGTCACATTTTTGATCTTTAGAATGACCCAGCACAAATTATGCTAAAAAATAAATAAATAAATAAAAAATCAATTTCTTTGTATTCTTACATTGGAATCCAACCATGATGTCCTCCTGTAAAATAAAATATGATGTATGCTAACGTAAGCTAGTAAAAACCAGTTTCAACCAATAATATGACATCCACCCATCAATAAATCTCCAACGTTGAGCAGCATAGAGAAATTCATTGGTTAGCCAGCTAGCAACAGCATGCTACGTTAGTATGTCCTCTGGTGTTTTCCAATCCTTGTTCTATTTTCCAAAAATACCATGGTCACTGGGCTAATTTATTCACATTGAGGAAAGTGGTATATCTGACAGCTTCAGATGATTGATTTCTGCAGTATGCAATTATTGCACTATGGGGCCCATAGAGCAAGCAGACTAGTGACTTGTGGCTGCCAAGCAGCTAACTTTCATTGGCTGAGCAACTGTCTGCTGACATGATTGGGGATAAAAATTATTTAATCGTCTGGCCATCTTCTAGAATGTTATCAAATTCGAATGGCTCAAATTCTGATAGTGAAATTAGTCGTTTTGCAGGGTTGCCACTGATTTATAGACGCCTCTTTCAGAATGTACATCTGGGCCCCATTACTCTACGTGATGGACTCATAGGTTGTAATTCCACATTTGGCCTTCGTGTAAAATTGGCTTAAAGGCCAGCACTGTTCCTGGGCATTTGGTGTTGTTGGACTCCATAAATGATTTGTTCTGTTTTGTAAATTGAAACTGAACATGGTCACACATCCAACGGTGACAGACCACTAAATGCCTCTCTGCAAGTTAAGCGCAAGAGCTCCAGAGTTTGCTTCTACTGGTCATAGCTAAAATCACAGTCCACCTCTGTACTGAAAGTAAGACAGGCTGTAGTTCATACATGTAGTACCTTACTTTTCTCCAGTTAATTTGGCTTCAAGAGTAAATGTGCCAACCTCTTCTCTGTCAGAAACTCCAAAATCCTTCAGTATTTACTACTGATTGGATGATTCTGGTTATAGTTATTATTTTAGTGAGCAATCAGTGTATATTTTATGAGACAGAATTAATTAATTGGCTGTCATTTTCCTTTTTCGGAAATGCTGTCCCATGATATGATTTGATGTAAATTAAATCATACTACATACTGTGATATAATTAATAATTATTTATCATAACCATAAATTATTTCACAGCACTTTTAACCACAAGTTCCCAACAGTGTGCACCATTGAGACCATGTTTGTTATGACATGGACACTTTTCAATGATCAAATTACGTTACTCCCAATGTTATATCTCGCTGAAACTGTTTAACAAACTAGATGCTCTCAAAATGCCATTTCATCTGGACTTTAGTGCAAAATAAATAGGTAATTAATAAAACCAATAATAAATGAATGATGAATACAAATAACTATATTAAAAGCATTAAACCCAAACTGAAATATAACTGGAATCAAACAGAAATAAATACAGAAAAAAATCAAAAACTAATGAAAAACCCAACCAATGTTTCTTGATCCTAAATTGTTTACTGAAGTGTTAAACTAAATGGCACACTGTAAACTGGGATTTAATAGAAAGAAACAAATGTGGTTTCCATGAAATGTATGTATTACATATTATAAATCTTTATTAAGTATGTGTGTTTTGTTTAAATACACTCATCTTCCCCTCTGGTTAACCATTGGACAGAGGAAATGAGCATTGCAGGAAGTGGAAAGATCAGCAGAAAGTGTGTGGACACAGCCCACAGCTCATGCAGGCAGCACCCGTCTTTGTGATTGGTCTAAACTCTGATAAGACCTGCACTTTCAGCTAACCTTGTGAGCGAGAGTCCGGTTGTGAAACAACATGGCAACTGCAGGGAAGGTAAGCACACTGACTTCTCCTCACATACAATGACATCTAAGTAATACATTTCTGTAAATGTCTGAATGGATCTGAGCTGTTCTGGGTGCATCAACACTGCTAGAGTTGCTGGGACTTTGTCCTCTGCTCAGTCAAGTGTTTATGGAACAGAGGGAATGTTTACAGTACAAAAGGAGGGGTAAGGGGAGTGGGGTTAGATCTGCTATTTATTGGGACTTTTTTTTAATTTAACTGCCGTAAAAAAGAAACAGACCCTCTGTTTCACAATCTATAATAGGCAAGTGTTTTGTGTATCTGTTGGAGGACTCTGGGTGTTGGTTAAGGCTTCCTGTTGTTGCAACATGTCTGCACAATGGGGGGTAAAAAAGTTAAAGTTTTTTTTGAAGACAGGTGACAGTTATGGTTTTGTTATGTTAAGCCATTGAGAAACAGGGTTGGAGAACTAATGATAAACAGACCTTCATCCTGTTTTACAGTAGTCTACAGTAAAAGAAATTTGCAGTGTGTCTCCCTCCACCCTTTGAATCACGGATGCTTCCATTTTAGCACTGAATGGGCTAAATGTCCACAGAGTAATTACCATGAGTGATGCCAGGCCTGCTCAAGATCCTGGATGTTGTGTTTTAGGTCATCCGGTGTAAAGCTGCAGTAGCATGGGAGGCTGGAAAACCTCTGGCCATGGAGGAGGTGGAGGTGGCACCTCCTAAAGATGGGGAAGTTCGCCTCAAGGTAATGAAACAGGGCTGATGTGTTTATTAATGATACACATTTACTAAAGATTTGTGCATCTACCAGATAAATATGTTGCTGCAAACTCATCTGTCATGCTTATAATTTATCTACAGTTAATTAAAGTCAATGCAGCAACTGTTCAAAGTTGGAAAGATAAGAAAAAAGCTCATTCTTATAACAAAAAATGACGTCTCAGTAGGGATTAAGGGTTATTTGTCTAAGTACTGAATCACGCCTATGCGTGCAGACACACCTTTGAGCTGCGGCTCTTTCCAAGGTTATGTAACCACTGTTTCTATGGTTGCAGCCAGGTTTACATTACTCAAGTAAATAAGTTTAATTTACACTGGAGACAGTTGGATGTGCCCCCACCCCTTTTTGAAATGGCAGATTTTGTCCACATCACTTTTTAAAACATAAATTGTTCAAAATGTTCTGAAAAATAGTCCAAACCTAAAACATGTTAACCAACAAATGCTTTGCAAATTACACAGTGCAGTGTAAATATAGATGAAACAAATATTCATTGTTGAAAAGAAGTAATATTAAAAAAAAAAAAAATCCTGGCCTACTGATTCTAAAATGATCTGAAACATGCCTGCACCAATCAGTAACTTTAACAAACTGGTCTATTGAGTTAACATGACAACATATGAAGGAGTTTATAAGTTTATTAGTTTAAATATTATTTTTATATTTTGAATTGTCACCCGCTGCCTGAATTTTGTGTTTCTTTACATAAATATCTTAAAATGATGAAAAATTCACCAGGATGCAGGAAATGAAGTATTTGACACACTTTTTCTCAGGGGGAAAACCCTTGAACCCTCGCTTTATATGTGCCCCCCCAAATGTTGAAACAAAGCCTCCGCCCTTGGTAGACTCGTAGGCTATTCTCTTTTAATGTGCTGGGGGTTTTTTTTAAGCTCAAACTGATCCCTCCATTCAAATCTATAAAAGTTGTATATGTTTGAAGACCATTTAAGAAATCATCTGAGCCTGATCAACTAAAACTATAAAATTAAAGCAAGGTTTGCTGCCTTTTCATCTTAGATAAGTCACTGTACCTGTATATGGTCTATAACATCTACACACATCTACACTATATGACAACCAGCTCCATGTAAAAGCTTATCTATACTCAGTTTTTCCTCAATCAGTCCAACACTACAGTGTACTTTGCCCCTGTAGTTATATCTGGTTATATGTTGTAAAAGAAAAGAGTCTGCTCTATTGTTACTGTATTCATAATTTACCTTGAGCAAGAAAGACCTGCTCTTTAACTTAATACTATCTTCACAACAGAAACTTAACCTCTACCAAAAGTAATTCTCACAAATTGAGGATTTAAATTATTACTATTAGCATTTGATTCATGAACCGATTGATCTCCTCAGATTACAGCAGGAGTTCATGTTCAGATCAGAGCATGATAAATCAATTGAGCATGGATCAGATCACAGTCTCTCATTTCAGATTGTGGCCACAGGGATCTGTCACACTGACTCCTACACACTAAGCGGCTCCGACCCTGAGGGAGTTTTCCCTGTAGTGCTGGGCCACGAGGGAGCTGGCATTGTGGAGAGCGTTGGAAAGGGAATCACCAAATTTCAACCAGGTTCTTTCTCTCTTCTCTTTTCTTCTCTTCTCTTCATTGAGGATCACTATATATTATGGTAATGCTCAAACAGGCTGTTTTTGTTGCAGGGGACACAGTCATACCCTTGTATGTCCCACAGTGTGGAGAGTGCAAGTTCTGTAAGAATCCAAAAACCAACTTGTGTCAAAAGATCAGGTAAATATCCAGGGTTAAATCATGTGCGACTGTGTACATCAGATTCGAACATAAAACTCCTGCCTTGTGCAGCTGATCAGATGTCAGATCTGTGTTATATTTTGCTCTCCAGGCTCACTCAGGGCAAAGGCTTGATGCCAGATGGGACAACCCGTTTCTCCTGCAAGGGCAAGAGCCTCTTCCACTTCATGGGCTGCAGCACATTCTCTGAGTACACTGTCGTGGCTGAGATCTCCCTGGCTAAAGTGGACAACAGGGCTCCTCTCGACAAGGTGTGTCTGCTGGGCTGTGGCATCACCACTGGTTATGGAGCTGCACTAAACACTGCCAAGGTGAGTCTGCTGCCTCTAATGTCACGGTGCTATGATCAGTCATTGCAGCTGGTCACTAAGACCCCCTTTATGCCTTGCTTTAGATTGTATCTAGAGAGGATTAAACCTGATTACACTTACACTTTTATTTTAGTTTGTCTAGATACAATTGAAATCTGATCACTCTGTTGGGCTCAAATAACCAAATGGTTGTAGCTGTTCTCCACCATTTGTTTCCCCATTGCTTCCTCAATGGCTCGGTTGCATTTTCAATTACCAAGTCTCACTTGTATACTTTCATCAGACCACACTGAAAGCAGATACTCTGTGTCTGAGTGTCTTGAATATTATCCATGAGCTGTCTTATCGCATTCTTCCCAGCAGCTTCGCTGACTTGCAGGCTAATGGCTGCTACCTTGCTGGTTTGAAACAGTCATGCAAGATTACAGGTTCCAACCCACTTGGTGGTTGTGTGTGGATTGAAACCGCAATTACATCTATACTTGTATTCAGTGTGGTCACAAGTTTTTATTCATTTAAATGTTAGGCAGACTTTAGTCTCGCTCACCAGACCTTTCTCAAGAAAAGAAAGGTCTGGCTG